TCTGCAATATGGCAAAATATGCAAAGAAACACAATGTTCATATAACGTTTTTTAAGATCTTTGTTTAATGCTTGCAAGCATGACGATTCCTCTCGAGTGCGTCCTGCTCTGTATGTGACAGGCTCTCTTATAGGAAGACATCAAAGATCACATGACACCACAACAACATTTGGGCCCAGGTGGTCGCCTTATCACAAATAAGCAAAACTCACACCCTACAAAGCACAATTAAGTGTCGCAGTCATAAAACCCTTCATCTTACCCTCGTGAACACAGACCAAATGTTCTTCTCATACATTAGGATTGAAAACACTTGGAAGGATACCACTTAGTTAAAAGTTACATTTCATTAGGATTACACTTTATTAAGCTTTAATACCATCATTTCCATAACACCTCCCTCACGTCAACCAGGTCACAAACACAGCTTCCATGAGACCCTCCCTCTCATCCACTGCCACTAAAACTCTCTTCCATGCCTTCATTACAACCCGACTGGATTACTGCAACAGCATTCTCTATGTTTCACACCCTCAATAAACTTCAATATATAAGCTCCGGGCCTGGGGGTGACAGGGTCTTTGCTGCAGCCCCCCCCCCACCCTCCCTCTGGAAGTCCCTCCCCCATTCAAAACTCACTTATTCACTCCAGCTTTCAATCTCTAATCCACAACCCCCCCATATTTTACTCCGCACTTGGATTACGATAATATGAAATGTATTGTATTGATCCCAAATTGGGAAATGGTTGCGTTGCAGTAGCATAGAAAAACAATACTGTAGTGCTTTTTTTATGTGGATTCTGTTATGGAAGGTAAACAGGAAGCAGAGCGGCCTCCTGACTAGACGGATACATTTGTGAAGCTAAATGCCAGCGCAGCATCATGCCGGCTGCACACATGGCTTTACGTGGAGAAGCTTTTGGTTTCTCTGTGCTTTTTTACGAGGCGAGCACTGAGTAGTTTTGCCGGGCTCCCGCTGAGCGCGTAATGAATGGCAGGCTGCGGCTGTGGGCCTGCCAGGCGAGAAGAAACAGCACTGTGGAATTGTGGGATAGCGAAGGAGAGTCTTGAGTTGTGGGTCCCGGCGGGAGCTTTCAGAGATCAAACACGTCGACAGCGCTGCCACCCGCCGGGCATTCTGGGTAGACAGACCTTAGGAGGAGACGCCTGAAAAGCAGAGAGCTGTTTGTGTGTGTGTATGTGTTTGGCAGCTTTTGGCTGTGTTTTTGAAGAGTGAATGATGGCAGCACGGAGGATGCTGTCGTGGCTTTTGTTTTCGTGTTTTCGCCGTTAGAGGACAAACTTTGAAATGGACTAACGAGAGCTGACTTGATGTGACTTCCAGGGTTTTGCTTTGACACGACTTTCCCTCTTTTGATGTGGCTCCAACACACACACACACACACACACACACACACACACACACACACACACACACACACACACACACACACACACACACACACACACACACACCTCATCCATGTCCCTCCATCTGTCCTTTCGTTAGTGATACTCCAGCCTGGGGGGTTGGTTCTCGAAGTGACCCTCTTCCCTTTCTCTCATCTGTTTCTCACATCTCTGTCACTGTCTGTTATTTCTTTCTTTGTTTTCTCCTCTCCATTTTCTGATGTTCTTTTATTTGAGATTCCTTTTGTCTTACCGTCTTGTCTAGACATCGTCATTTCTTCCTTTCTTTCCCCACGTAGACATTCATGGCTGATGCAATCACCAAAGTGCAAGTTAAAGCATTCAACCATTACATTTTAATTTCATTTTTACTTTGTCGTTGAGCGCCCTCTTTCAGTCTGTTACTTATTGTAGTTTTTTTTGTTTTTTCCTTCACTATATGAAGACCTTTGTGTGAAAATACATTGAAAGGAGAAACATTCAACAATCACTGTACATTTATAGTTTCTTAAATACCTTTTTGTTTGTTTTTCATTTTCTTTGTACGGTTCCTACTATTCTGTTGTCCACCCTTGCTTCCTTGTTTTTCTATCTTTCTGTAGTCTTTATGTCTTCTGTTCTTTCTTTCCCCTTTGTCTTTCAGACGTTCTTGTTTTTCTCCGTGCAGATATTTTTTTGGTTATATTTTTTAGGGAGTCTGTAATGGTCTGCAGTGTCAGGTGCCTGTCTGTCTTCCTTTGTTCCCCCTCCACCATTCACTGCCCCCTTCAGGCAGGTTTGGGAACCAATCAGTGGATGTGTGTGTGTGTGCGTGTGTTTGTGTGTGTGTGTGTGTGTGTGTGTGTGTGTGTGTGTGTGTGTGTGTGTGTGTGTGTGTGTGTGTGTGTGTGTGTGTGTGTGTGTGTGTGTGTGTGTGTGTGTGTCTGGGACATGTCTGGAGAAGGAAAAAGGAGCGGAGAGTGAGGATGATAAGGAAGAGAGCAAGAAGGGGAGAGTTGGGATAAAGGTGTGTGATAGAATTGGAAGATCAAAGCCTTCTGTCGCAGCGTGACTGAGCCCAGGGGCGTTATGGGTAAGACAGGCCACGCACGCACTCGTACGTATGGACAGACACACTCACCCTCACCCTCACTGCTGGTATTTGACTCTGAGTGTGATTGATACTGGGCTAGATTTGGAGAATCACTGTCATTCGTCTCTTCGCAGATCAAACAGCCACATAATCTCCCATAAAGGAAAGAGAGATGGGGAAGGGAATAAAAAAGGGACAGAGTGGGAGAGTGGGAAGGAGGGGGAGAGAGAGAGAGAGAGAGGTGACAAAGCCTTCTGAGCTGTGAAGTGTTTTCTTGTTTTCCATAAAGAAGAGCCGGCAGCTTAATAACACATCCATCATTCAGCTCCATTAAACTGCTTCTTGTGCGCATCAGAGAGATATCTTAAAAGACAAGTGTAAATGCGAGCGTTTAGACACCATTTACACCTGGCAGACACAAGCAATATGTATCCCCGTACCTTTCATCCTGGGAGTTTGTATGAAAATGAGTTTATCGAGATTCGATGCCATTCCGAGCAGAGTCGAGATAATGAGCACTTATTGATTCCAGGTTTAAATGCAAAGGCATATGATCTGATACATATTGGATGTAAATAACGTATAACCAGAGTCTTAGAGATGGATTACAGATGTCTGAAATCACCTTGGGAGGGGCTTACAGAGGTTCATTTCCCATCCTCCACCTTAGTGACCTGATTGATTCCTCGCAGTAAATGCATCCATCTCTGCATAGGTAATCTTTACTGCTCTTTTGTTCACCCCACGCTTATAAAGGAGAAATGGGAAGTGACACAAGATCAGATACAGAACATCATTGTCAATTACTCCAGAGGCTTAAAGGTTAAAGAGAGTTTAGCCCATAATCATATGTCAAGAAAATCTGGCGAAGAGTCACGGTTTCATATTACAGATTACAATAACATACCTTAGGAAACAAAATGGCAAATTGTAACTTCATTAGTCAAACACTTCCTGTATCTAAAACTGAAATTGGTTGTCTCTACTGAATTTCCTAATGCTACAGTTCATTGAATATCGGCACTTTTGACAGATGTAACAAGAGAGAGCTTTGAACTGATGTCAGACACTGAATATTTATTGGAAGGGTGGCTGGATAATTGAAATGGACATATGCTGAGACACCAAAGCAGTAAACCCTAGGTTTACTGGGGCATTGGGATATATATTTTTTAAATCCACTGGAGCAGAGAGAGGAGCTGTGGATTATTGTTATTGATTAATGCTCAGTGTTTCTTAGGGTCACAAACACTAAACTCACACCTTAAAATGAAAGCGTTTAGTTTATGTAATAAAAAAGCACATGTTCAATGTGAAAAGTGACAGTAGTTATAGATTATTTGCAATTTGGTGCTATATATATATATAAAAAAATAATAATAATAAAAAAATAATTAATTATAATATATATTTTTTAAACACCTTGAATTTCAGGGGGGGCGCGGGGCTCCGTTGGCGGGGCTCCGTTGGCGGGGTGCAGCACCCCTGCAAGACAATGGTAGGGGAAACACTGCATAGTGACACAGCCTCTGCCCAAGCAACTCTGCGATTCTTTCCTCGATATATTACTGTTCCTAAGAGCATAATCAACATTTGATAACAAGTCAAAGCAAGCTCTGTTCCTAGAAGGGATTGACTGGCTCCAGGGAGCTATACACCTGATAAGATGTCCTTACTGCAAGCAGAATCAACTATCTGGGTCACACGGTGTTAAAGCTCAGAGGCCATTTGCCTGCATGAGACAGGGGAGTGAAAGGAGAGGCAAGAGCTAAAATAAATAGAATCAAAAGTAAAGGGAAATAATATTTCATAGAGTACTGTTCCTGTTTATCACACACCTTGTCTTTCAACCACTGATTGTGACTAAATAAGAGAAGGCAGTGTGTGATTGGACTTAAGGCAGGCGTGACTTGTGTCTCTATTGGGGGCTACTTTCTGTAATAGCTTGCAAAGCTACACTGGTTCTAGCATAATAAACTGCTGCTGCTCCTCGTTGTACATTCTTGTTTTTGGACTGCCTCTGCTTGGAGGTTACGTTTTGGAAAAGATCCAAATCACAGGGCACACATTATCTCTCACAGCCTTAGCAGAGGTCAGAGCGCTCCAAGTGCACTTATTGTTAGTCTTCTGGTTTGAAAGAATCTCCATTATTTTGCTCTTAAACTTCTGGTCTTTGGCTTGTTCTTCTCTATTCGTGGTGTTTTTAACAAACCGGCAAACAACTTTGGGTGATTGCCAACACCTTCTGCAGTGAAGGGTTTTAAGGTTGAGCAAGATTTGTGTTGCAGAAAAACAAATCTAGGGCTATCACATTCTATATCTGGCACACTCATACACCCATGAGTGAATGAATGTTTATCTGGATTTGTTCTGGATTCGAGAGAACTGTAAGTGATGGCAGCATCTGATCCATCACGGCTTCTCAGGAGAACCACAGGGAGCCATAGCGGTCTCCCATACATTGTTAATATGTGCAGGGATTTCAGATGTTTTATTTTCCTCTTCTGTCTCCACAGATGCACCACCCTATTCAGATGAAACCTGCAGACAGTGAGAAATCTAACGGTGAGTGTCCATACAAACACACACACACACACACACACACACACACACACACACACACAAGACAGACACGTCGATATCTCACTAGCACACGCATCAATGGCCTTTTTAAATTTGCCTCGTAATAGCTATCTCACCCGTGTGTTTGCTCGCAGACGGGACGGGGGACTGGGGGGAAAAGACTGTGCGAAAGACATAAAGGGGAACAGAGAAAGAGCGATAGAGAAAGGGGGGGGGGGGAATGCATCTATAACTATATTCTTATATGAGTGATGAATTATTAAAGTGCTTCGTAAGGAGGTCAGAGCGAGTTGAATCGGTTTGGCCTCATGGTGAACCGGCCTCCCTCTCCTGAAGGCAGATCGCTCCAACAAACATGCTGAACAAACACACACACACACACACACATGCAATTGTATGCATATATTCCACACAAGCGCTGTCACACACCCTCAGATCACCCCATTTCCAAACTACATATTGCAGATCTAGTTCTCCAGAGATTTCCTATAACCGAGACTTCATTCCATTTCAATCTAAAGAGGCTGTTTGACCGTACACACATTGTCTCTGGGGGAATATAATGAAGTACTTTTACTCAAGTACTGTACTTTAGTAACATTTAGCAACACACTCTCACTCCATAATCGTCCAGGAGCGACGTTTGGTCAGGGTCCTGTGGCGTGCAGTTGTGTCTAAAGATACGTTATTTTACCCTGTGCAATTCCAGTCTCACATCTCACAGCACATCGTCATTAACAGACCGAAAACAGACCGAAAACATTTTTTAAAAATAAGACAGAGTGTGTAAGAGTGTGCTTGCTTTTCTCTTTGAAAGTCATCACATAACGGCATTGTAATACACGGTTCGGCTGCATTAAATATTACATATCTGCCGTAGTTCTGTATTTATAGAGCCCTGAGGAGAAGACTTCTAGACAAACATGAGGAACTGAAAACGTGACGTGGATCATAAATATATCAGCAATTAAACAACATCTTACATTTCTTTTCACACAATACGTCTCCTTGCAGTATCAACACTAATTCGGCTGACTTTTATATTTGATCCAATTGGTAGATAGGCTGTATTTACACCATAAAGGTGCACAGCTGATATAAAGGGACACCTAGTGGTTAAAGCATGTTATTGAAATGTATTATTTATATTATTAGATATTAATAGGATCCCTATAAAGTATATTCATTACTCGTTATTCTCTACTAATAGTTCACTAAAGACTGTATATAATGACTATTTTGCACATCCCTTTCAAGATTTCAAGATTTTCTAAGGTTTATTGACATATTATATTCACAAACGGTGTAGTTATGCATTGAATGAAAAACTTGGGTCGCAGGTTCCTCAATAGTGCATTACAAGACATCTATCAATATTTGTGTATACCTCCAGCAATGTTAACTATGTTGAAGCACTTATTTTAACTGATATTATACATATGTATTATACTCTTATAAGATGGACGCGGTGGACCCGTTCAAATCCAGTTTTGGACAGTCTGCCGTGGTTCCATCCCATTTCAAGTGCTGTTCGACGCTCGGCGTAGGCTAACCCTCGGAGCACACTCTCCAATCACAGAGCTTGAGGACTATCACGGGGTTTGTCAAGCGAAGCGGAGAGAATACTTACTTCCCGGTGTAATATTCTCTAAAGCAAATGAGCTGCTCCGACCCTCGGTCCTGACGGACTCCAACTTGTGTTAATTAATCAAACAAATAAATAAACACAAGGATAATTATGTGTTATTGTTGAGTAAATGGAGAATTGCACAGGGGAAAATAACGTAGGCTATCTATGCCACAATTTTAGATGCAGATTTTGTTAAACTAATACGTTTGCGCTGTGGACCAACATGACCAACCGACGGGGAAGGGGGTAGCAATAAAGATAACACCATTAAACAGTTACACAACATAACAATAATAATCGTAACAATAATAATAATATCGATAGCAGCGTCCCTAGCAACAAGTAACAAGTAGTTAATAATAATAAAATACATTAAGAAAAAGGCATTTTAAACAGTCATTAAAAAGCAACACAATCTACCTGCATTGCATTACTCTAAACGTGTAATAACGTGCTTTAACCAGTAGGTGGTTTGGGTTTAAAAGCTGTCAAATTTACAGTGTTAACAAAATAAAATATACTGCTGTTTCTGGTTTAGTTTACGACGGATATATTTGGGTCATTCCAGAATTGGAGGACATTTCATGTCCCCCATATAAAAAATCTAATAATCCATGCCCAAAATGCTAAAACATGCACTTGTTGTGTTAAACATACTTGTCTTGAGACAACATGTATATAAAGTTGTAGAAAAAGTGGTTTCAAAATATTATTTAAATGATCAAATAGCTCTCGAACATCCCCTTAAATGGCATTTGTCTCTTGTCCCCGCTTCTTGGTGACCAACTTGCATGTCAAAAATAACATTTAAAATAGGGATTTTATTTACTTTTTCTGGTATTATTCTTTTGATATATGTCTCTTTTATGGTAAAATCAATTTGTTAAATCATAAACATATTTTAAATAACAGTAATTTTGCACAAAAGGTGTGTCCCTCAACATGCGTTCAACCCTGTTACCCAAACCTTTTTAGATTGGCACCAGTGGCGTTTTCTCCCGGAGGCCAAGGGAAGCCAGGCTTCCCCTGTTTTTTCGGATTGTAGTTATCATTTAAATAAATAAATAAAAACACTTTGTTTTGTTTCGATAATTCTCCTTTGTTGTGTGTTGCTGCCGGCCCGTCTCTCCCCCATTCTCATTGAGTATTTTACAAAGAGTGAAACAAACAGCGCCCCTCTAGATGTTATGGTGAAACAGTAGATTGCACTCACTGTTGCGAGAGGAGGCCAGCCGAATCTTGCTTCCCTTGGTGAAAAAAATTGAGGTATTGACCAATCAGATGAGGCTCACGTGATGCCCCTGCCAACCTGTGATTGGTCAGGGTCATGCCAAGGGAAGCCAGAGGCGGCTGGCTTCCCTTGCCTCACAATCCAATCAAATCGCATCAACTTAGTGTTGCAGTGACGCGTCCTAAAATCCGGAAGTAAGCTGCGCTCGGTTTCCCTCGACAAAAAAGCAATGGGATTTCTCCATAGGATTTAGGAAAATAGCTCGAAATAAGGTCAGTGGAAAACGAACCTGTTAGATAAATGCAAGTTTTGTTCAGTCGGATAATATCCACATGTCTACCCTACTTTTATTACATTACATTACATTACATTGCATTTAGCTAACGCTTTTATCCAAAGCGACTTACAATAAGTACATTCGACCAGGAAGACACAACCTTGAAGAAAACAGAATCATATAAGTACATCAGGTTTCATAGAGCCAAACATTTCAAATGCTACTCAACTGGCTTTAGGTAAGCCAGTCCTTTATTAGTATAAAAGTGCTTCGTTAATAGTTCTAACGCTCGAAGTGGAGTCGAAAGAGATGAGTTTTCAGTCTCCCCCGGAAGGTGTGCAAGCTATCTGCCGTCCTGATGTCAATGGGGAGCTCATTCAACCATCTTGGAGCCAGGATAGCAAACCCACGTGTTTTCGCCGATGGGAACTTGGGTCCCCCTCGCAGCGAGGGTGCAACGAGTCGTTTGGCTGATGCAGAGCGTAGTGCACGCGCTGGGGTGTACGGTTTAACCATGTCCTGGATGTAGGAAGGGCCAGATCCATTCGCAGCATGGTAAGCAAGTACCAGTGTCTTGAAGTGGATTCTAGCAGTTACCGGAAGCCAGTGAAGGGAGCGGAGGAGCGGAGTGGTGTGGGAGAATTTAGGAAGGTTGAAGACCAGACGAGCCGCTGCATTCTGGATGAGCTGCAGAGGTCGGATGGCACATGCAGGTAGACCAGCCAGGAGGGAGTTGCAGTCTAGGAGTGAGATGACGAGAGCCTGGACCAGAACCTGAGTCGCTTTCTGAGTCAGCTGGGGACGTATCTTCCTGATGTTGTAAAGCGTGTATCTGCAGCAACGGGTTGTAGCAGCGATGTTTGCAGTGAAGCTTTTATAATTTTCTAATCATAAATCTAATCGATAGAAGATAGATAGCGTCACTGCATCACTCTCACTGCCGTTAGAAAGTAACAAGCAACTGAAGCAAGTGCAATAATGGAGGGTGGAGATTTGGAGTATTTCATCAAAAATAATTGTACTAAACTTCCGCTACAGCAGCAACAACAAATACAATCTGATGACAGGCCAATGCCCAAACTGGAGCTGTGTACAGCGAGGAAAAAAGGAGCAAATCGGACGTAAAACGTCAAAGGTCTCCTGATTTAGTTTGTGAATGAATGCTTATTAGAGTTTCGGCTGGAGAGAGCGTGCAGACCTGTCGGTTAGATAACAGGCGTGTGTAAGTCCTGCATCTGATACAAATGTGTGTAAAATGATACCGGGTGCTGTAATCACTAATCTGGTTACGTTATTATAATGACCACCACATCCCCGATCCAAAAGAAAGAACGTATTATTGGCTTCTCCTAATTTTTTTCCCACGCCACGCTACTGATTGGCACAGGAAGTGAAAAAACTGTAAGTCAGATGACACAGTGGAAGTGACATCAGCAAGCCATGTGCTAGTGCCATGGGTAGACCAAAACTAAGTCCTCTCTTTTATTGTTCATATTTTTACAATCTTTTCAGTCTTAAAAGAGTTACTTTCAACCCTGTTACTATAATTAGAGTAACAGGGGTAATTCTTCATTGGAAAATATACATTTGATGCCTAGCTGGGCAAATCACTTTTTTTGATGGTTTATTATCTGTTTTTCCTAAATACATAAAAACATTTTTTTTTAAAAAAGGTTCATTTTTCTAAAATGTTGGTGTTGAAATTGTCCTCCAATTCTGGAATGACCCATTTAGTTATTGTTTTGATATTTGTAACACAAAAGCGATGGAAAAAACCCACAGCAACACAGAAAAGATGGTCTTAACATGACCCAGCGGTCTAGTAGTTAATAAAAAACAATAAT